TGCTTTGGCTCATTAAGTTTTGTAGTAATTCTTATCTGCTTAACATTTTTTGTGATGTCCTAGCACAACCACATCTGTCAGCTCTTGGGCTTGTGTTCTCTTTTGTTTCCGCAACTTCGTGAGTTGTGGTTGGGATTTCATAGTTGTACTTTGTTTCTGTAGCTGGTTGGGGTTTTTTTGTTGGGGGTTTTTTGGGTGGGGGTTTTTTGTTTTTGTTTGGTTTTTGGTTTTTTTTTGTTAATAATATTTAATTTCTTTCTTAGCTTAAGCTATGGAGGAGGACATTCATCACATTCAGAAACAGATCTTCACAGACAGACATACACAGCTTCTCATCAACTTCCTGGATACTCTGCTACACATCATCCTACTGGTAACTGTTCATATAATGAGTTTACAGCTTAAATAGCTAAAGGAAAAAAAAACCCAACGAACCTGTTATGTAATTTAGGTTCAAATTGATGAATTTTATAGTCAGAGGGAGTTTGTCAAGCAAGTGGTGGCAGGTAGTATCAGAAGAGCTGAGTTTCTAGTAGAAAGTTAACAGTCGTTAGCTGTTATCAAAATGTCGTAAGTAGAAAGGAAAATACAAGGGGAGGGCGCTGTGTTTATTACCTTGCTGTTGGTTCTTAAAGAAACTTCATTTATTCTTTAAAATAGAGGATTTGGCCTATGCATAAAGGCTAAACGTTAAGTACGCCTCAAAGCCAGCTGCAGAAATCATGCTAACTCTTTTAGACTAAAGCAAACAGCGAAACTAATGCGAATTGGAGCACACTCTTGCTAGTGCTTACATGTGCAAACTACGATGTAGTGCTGGGGGAAAGTTAAAATTTAAATAGAGTAGCAGGTTAGGCTGTGTTACATCTGCATCAGGATCTGTCCGTGATCCTGGTGATAGCCTGTCTCCATGTGAGGAGAAGACAGGGCATGACCTCTTCATGATCGCTTTGCAATCCAATTTCTAAGGAAAGATATTTGAGCTTCTGCTGGCTGGAATCTGTAGTCTCTTGGCCAAGTCCTTGATCAGGACGATGGAGGGTCAGAACTTCAGGGAATGTTCCAGGGTGTAGACCCTACAGTCTTTCATAATCTCAGTTACTCAAAACTGTATCTCTCCATCGCTTCCCACTGAGCCCCCTGCCACTGAAAGCTGTGAGCAACAGTGAATGCACAAAGGTGTTTGCTGGAATGGGGAATGCAACCAAAACCCCTTTTCTTGTGCTAGTCACAGAAAAAAACCTCCGAACTACAGAGAACTCCGAACTGCGATACTGCAAACTCCAAAGAGCGAGAACTAGGGGAAAAGGTGAACAGAGAAGCTGAACCTATTTCAGGAGGAATTCTGAATATTTAAACAGTTTGTGTGGAAAAAATAGAACAGTGAATCTTCAGATGAATGGAGAATTTTATCGGTGTACCTAAATATTGATTTTAAACATGATATTTGACATACATTTAAAAATAGATTTTAAAATGTATATTCAAGTTCCAGTTTACAGTTGCAACACTACAAAACAGTCAAAACTGAAAAATCAATGTACTTTAATAACATTGCTAGAGTTTTTAGTGAACAATGAATGTATATCCTTGTTATTTGATTGAGCTTCTTGTAAGTTCATCTGAATTGTCCGTTTTGTTTCATTTCCTTCCACCCTCATCTAGGTCTTTCAGGAATATTTGATACCACCAGTATGCACAGTGCTGGAAGTAACACTAAGGAAACTTCTTCAGTTATGAATTTTCTCTCTGCTATTGAGTCTCGTACCGCTCAGGCAGTCTCTTCAGGATCTACCCTTTTACCACAATTCAGGGCTCCTTCCTGGCAGACAGGTGAAAAATTTCTCTTGAAATAAAATTCGTCATTGTTGTATTGAATGTTGGGGAGAACTTGAAGCAAAAATATCCTGACTTAACTGGAAAGGCTACGTGTCTTCTACCTCTTTTCCATCTCAGTATTTAAATATCTCAAAATCAATGAAATTATATTAACAGAAGGATTCTATTAGAAGAGGAATTATATGAGCAGAAGCTCTAATTTTTTAGAAGGATTTTTGATGATTAGGATATTAATTTATCTAAAGAGTCAAATATATTCTCCAACTTTGGAATTACTCTTGCTAACACCAAAAGCATATTCAAGTAGGCTATCTGTATACCCGAGCAGATCTTTAATTCTCAGTGTTTCCTGTCATAGTTGTTGTTCTGTGATATTTCTGCTAAAAGTCTGTGGATAACTTTAGCCCCTTTGTACACAGAAGTAGTGAGCAAGATGTTCTCAAAAACAAGGTCCGAGGTGCATGTTGCACAGAAATAACTGATCTAATTTACAAATAAACAAACATGCCGTCTTTCTTGGCAGACTGACTGCCTTCTGCAGACCTCCCCCATCTGTCAAGCCTTCTGTGCAGAGCAGGAAACACTGCATATTTTGAGCTTGCTGTGGACAGCCACAGCAAGATAAGTGATGCTACTGCATCTCTGGGTAGCTTCAAGTTATGGTTAATCTTATGCAGTGATTGTGCAGCTGTGCAGTGAATCAGATCTATTCACTCATCTGACAGACGAGGTTTGGGTGGGTTTTTTCCTTTGTTGGGATGGTTTTCCATCATATCAGCAAGCTGATCTGTGTCCTGGTGCAGCTGTGTGATCGCTGATTCTGATTTAGGGAGGAGGCATAAGGTAGGAAGAGGAAAGAGCGGAACAATCCTTTTGTTGACAGTTTGTACTTGGTCTGTTCAGTGTAACATGCAGCTGCATTCCATGAAGAGCTGCTCAGAAAGATGAGAAGAGAGAATGTGGCTTTTCATTCGCCATAGCCAGAAGCATATATGTGGGAGTACAGATGAAGATGCACACTGTTAATCTGTCAAAAAATCTTAATATAAATCAGTGATGTTTAGAGTTGTGATGACCCATCCTCGCAGCAGATTATCAGCTGGGAAGAAATCTTTTTTTCTCTTCATCCTAGCATGTTTTCTCCGTTGCAGCCTGCCTAACAGTGAATTGTGAAGAATAGGGAGACATGCTGTGGGTCGGGTTTGATGTTGATACCAGTGATTGAGAGACTTCTCAGTACTCAGTACTAAGAACTCATCAGTAAGCCCATTTTCAATATTACCAGTTCTCTGAGCTTTCTGTTGTCCTTTAATACTTTTGTTGCTTTTCTGTATCCCTCAAACTCCCCAAGTGTCTTTTGAGAGCTTTGTCTTCTACAGACTTTTTTGATGAGGGAAAACAAGTGCTCTTTGCTCTTCAAGTTGACCTTTCTTTAGAAGGGCTTTCCACTTTGTTTTTTACCTCCAAACCCTGCAACTGCTGATTTTGGGGGTAAAAGAGGAGCAGCGTGTTTAGTATATTGTCCTACCAAGTCTTCCTTTGGTATGTGGCATTTTTATCAATGTTCTGATTTCTTAGAGTAGTGGGCACACAACTTACTACCTTTGCCATAACTTTTGTCCGCTCCTCTACAGAAGTAAAATATAAACCCCAGCAGTTCTGCCATGATAGTGCTTCTGTGACTGGCTCTTGCCTGGTTCAAGAAATTACCTGCGCAGCAGGAAGGGCTTTAATTTATAGAAGAGAAGGGAAAAATACAGGTTAGATGAGAAATTAACATCTGCAGTTACAAAAGGTATAAATTCTTCCCCTTCTTTGATGCTTCCAGATGCCCATACTGTTGTGTTAGTGGTAGGGATCAGTAAAAGAGAACCCAGTTGTACATGATGTTGAAGTTTTTTAGAACAGGGGAAAAAAGGCATTAAAACGCTGCTTATGCTTTCTTACTCAGAAAGACCTTATTGTTGACTACTGAAAAATACCTTGGCATTCCCTTAGTATCACATCTATTCATATCAGTTCGTCTGGAACTGGAAAGGAAGAAACAAAGACTTTCTTTGCCAGCTTCATCTGAAACTTCCAAAGCAATGGATGATTATGTTGCAATCAGTTTAAGAGGACTGAATACATTTAAAATAAAAAGCGATTTTTTTTTCCTGAAATGTTTTTCTCAAACCCACCTTTATTTACTGAGAGTTATTTATTTATTCTTAAATGATACAAAACTAAAGCTGTTTTAAATGTCCAAGAAGAACTGAAAAAGGTCAAATTATACCAGTAACTTTCACTTTTTTCTGATTTGTATACCCCTTACAAGAAGTTTGTCTCCCTGAGAATAAACTTGCCTTCATCACTTCCATTCACAGGCTTTGGAAATAGTATACAAACTTCACCAATACCTGCAGACTACACGGTGAAAAGCACTGAATGATGTGGATCACTGCAAGGGAAAACTTGCAAGGGAATTTCACACTCCTGTTTCAGTTGGAGTAGGATGTTCTGTAGAGAAATCTTGTTTAAACCAAGATATCATACCAGTGTCCAGACACAAATAAGTAATATTGTACCTTTCAGCTGGATAGTTGCTGTTGCGCTGTGCAGATAGCTGCTGTCTGTGGATATTTTGGAAAGCATACAAATCATATTTATTCTTTGTATTGAAAGTGAAAGCTGTCTTTTAAGAAATACATATTACAAGTGTGGTTGTTAGCTATTTCACTGTAAGCTCCAAAATGTTTCCATAAAGTGAGTAATGAAAGTATTGGTGAGGGTAAATGCAGGAGATGGAATTGTTCCTTTAACTGTGTATGTGTTACAATTGATGAGGTGTGATTTTGCCTTTTTACTGTATATTAAAGGTGTCCAGGTCTTTTTATCAGTTGTCCTCTACTACGAACTTCTTTCTAAACTGAAACAAAAACTAACAAAGAGCTTTCAGTTTCAAAGAAGAATTCATCTTGTGCAATTTTTTTATCCATAGTTTTTATTATAAAGATGCGATCTTTTTTCCCTTGCCAATTCACTGAGGGTACAGAATTTGGAATTCTTAAAAAAACCTGCACTTCCAGTTTGAGAATGACCCACAGTAAGGGCTTCCCTTTTATATGTTTTCATTGAAAAGGGGTGGTGATTCTAATGAAGGTTACATTTATAAATGCTGTAAAATCTTACAATCAGTTGAGTTCTAGAAATGCAGAGTGTTGTAACTTCTAAAGCTCCCTTATGCTCTTTTTCCCTTCTTGTTTTGTTTTTGTTTTTTTTCCAGGTATGCATTCCTCAACAGCCTCAGAACTCTTTGTTACTGGAGCTCTGCCAACCTCTGGAACATTTCCACCAACATCTGCATTATCAGCATATCAGCATCCCAACACTTTCAGCAGTAGAAACTTTGCTACTACTCCTTCTCTTACTCTTCAAGATACTACTTTCAGTGCTACATCAAATGGTCTCTTAACTACCCATGATCCCTTATTGCAGATTAAAACATCACAAGGCACTGTTCCAACTGCTTTGACATTTGAGCGCCTAGGCAGTTCTGTTTTAAGCACCAGTATACCACCTCAGTCATCAACATATCGTTCTGCTCAAGAATCTGCACCCCATCTCTTGCAACCTCAGTTTAGTTTGTTGCCTTCAACCCTTGGAGGAGCTCAGCAGGTTTCTCAGGCATATAGCACGTCTGTCTTTACTGGTTCCACTGCTTCTATTGATCGAGCACTTCAGCGAGAATGTAGTGTTATTAAACACCATCAGCGGCCTTCAAGTACTCAGTCTGTTCAGGCTCAACTGACTGTTTCACAGCATTCCTTACACAGCTATTTAACAAGTACAAGTGGAGTTAATTTTCAGGATGCATCTAGGCACTCAGCATTATCTTGCAGCCCAGTTGGAGATGCTACTCAGGTGAGCAATGGAGGACTACAGCAGAAGACTTCTCAAGTCACAGTGGAACTTGCTCAGTCGTACACATCTGCAATTCCATCGCCTGGTTTTCCATCTGCTTCCACAGCAAAAGTGAAAAACTGTTCCATGAAGCAGCCTCCAAGGTCAGCAAAGACCCCCAAACCTCAAAGTGTAGATCCCACTGTGCAGACACAAAGCTATGCCAAAACTGCACAAAACCAGAGTTCTGTCATTACAGGCCAAGCACAGATCTATTCTACAGCACAGCTCCCAAGCCTCTTGTCGGTCAGCCAGTCCCAAAACTATGTTTCATCCCCCACTCAGAGTGTGCCACCTGTTAGTCACTCACAGGATTTCTCATCCAGCAAGGTTGAGAAGCTGCCCTCATTGTATAAAACGTTGACTTTTTCTGGGCAGTCACAAACTATTACTTCTGATAGTCAAACTCTCAGTTACTCCTCAGAGGAACACGTATTGACTTCAGTTCCAAATGAGAACTACTCTGGGCAAACGAGGGAACTTTCTTCAGTCAGCCAATCTCAGAGCTACTCTTCTAGTCACACTCAGGGTTTATCTCCAGTTAGCCAATCCCAAGTTAGTTTTTCATCTCAATCACAAGTTTTATCAGCTGTTAGTCCTTCAGAAAGCTATTCTTCAGGGCAGTCTTTAACATTGACATCACCTTCCCTTTCCTTTAATGCCTCTCCTCGGATACAAGCTCTTCCAGCCTCGAGTCCTAACCAGAACTATATTTCTTTACATTCTTCTCAGAATTCTCAGTCACAGGAATCCTCCTCTCCACAGTCTCAGAAGTTTTTGCCATCTGTCCAGTCTCCTCCTTTTGCATCCCCAGCTCATTCACAGACACTGCAGAAAAACAGGCCTTCCTCAGAAACAAAGTCATATGTTAAAAGGAAGTCTGACTCTAATTTGTATGCCTCATCAAAACAAGAGGAGGAATTATCGATGCAGGATATGCAGGCACTGCAACAGCAAACTACTCTTGAGTCTTCCACTCAAAGGCTAACTGATGAAGAAATCAACGCTCAGGACGCATCCTATAGGGTCTCAAAAGCAGATGACAGATACTCTCAAAGTGTCATCAGAAGTAACTCTCGTCTTGAGGATCAAGTTGTGGGACTTACTCTTCAAGGAACAAAAAAAGATGAAAGAATGGTCAATTCTGTGGAACAGCTTTCCCAACATATTGGCCATATCACTAGCCTAAGCCATGATATAAAAAAGACAGCTAATTTAATGCAAACGACACAAGTAACTGTGAGTGCTAAAGAACTAAACCAGCAACATTCTCTTATGCATAAGGTACATGAAAGTAAAGCTCAAGAACAGCAAGGCCAAGTCATTAGCCCACCGTCACAGGTTCAGCCTCATGCTTTAAGACATGGTCATCAGCTGTGCTTGCCCAGTGCACAGGTACTGCTGGAGTCAGCCTGTGACTTGCAGATTCTTCACCAGTCAATACTTCAGTCAGGTTTAGGACAAACGAAGGCATCACCACAAGTGCAAAGAATACACAGTTCTCAACAGGTAACACATCCATTCCTTCAGATGGACGGTCATATTATTCAAAGTAATGGGGGTCATACACAGCAACAGCTTCATACTCAGAATTCAGAAGTCATGAAAATGGACATTTCTGAGCCCTCAAAGCCACTACAGCAGCATTTGACAACAAAAGATCATTTTACTCAGACAAATCAACATGATTCAAAAAACCAGTTTGTTTCTCTCAGTTCAATATGTTTCCCAGAATCTATACTTCTCAGTGATGAGAGGAATATATTATCCAATGTAGATGACATCTTAGCAGCAACAGCAGCAGCCTGTGGAGTAACACCATCTGACTTTGCCAAATCAACTTCTAATGAAGAGGAAATCCAGTCTGTTGAAAATAGCGAGGAGTCTAAACCACAGTTTCGATCAATGGATGTAAGACACGTGTCTGGTTTCAGTGCCTCACCTACAGTAGTTGGAAAGCCAACAAGTATTAGTAATATTTCTTTGAATGGAAGCCAGATTACTATAAATCTTACACCAGTGTCGACAATACAGACCAATACTGTGAACCTTGATCAGCAGCACATTGAAACTTCGGATCAAAATGTAGCAACAAGAATGACCTCTCCCACCCTTGGCCCTGGTCAAGAAGAGCACGAACAAGGGGCTATTCCAGTTAAGAAACAATCTAGCATCAGTCATGAATCTGAAGAAGATAATGATGCTTCAGCTGATGGTACACTGAATGCAAGAGACACAGAATTTGTTTCAAGTGGTAGGAGCCTAAGTGGAGAAAGTGCTGCTTCAGAGAATGATTTTAATACAGGTGGTGATGATGGTACAGTGGCAGGTAACCCATCAAAGGTTCCATTGCAGCCACTCTCTGTGCCCCAAAGTGGAGATGGAATCATTAATAGAACTGAAGAAGAATGTCAAGATTTGTCTCAAGGGAACCTTCAAAAGAAAAAAAACAAAGGAAAAATCCAGACCAGAAATACTGCAGAAGATGACAGTGCAATTCAGAAACAGGTAAGAAGAAGTGGACAGTGCAAACGTCAGAATTCAAGAGGAAGTGACTCGTGTTTCGCATACTCTTCTCCTGTTTCTGAAAGTTGTTATGATACTTACCAGCATCAGGAAAGAATGAGGCAAAAAATCAAAGAAGTTGAAGAAAAACAGCCTGAAGTCAAAACAGGATTTATTGCATCTTTTTTAGACTTCCTAAAATCTGGACCAAGGCAGCAGTTTTCAGCTCCAGCCGTTCGAATGCCAAACAGGACAAGGCGACCTGTTACCCAGGTAGTTCGTGCCCCATGCCTACAACCCTCCGCAAAGCCTCCGCCAGCACCAGCAGCACCTGTAGCTGCTGAAGGTAGTGGGGAAAGTCCAACCAAAAAAGCCGATGAAGAACTTAAGAAAAATTTAGAAGCGTTGGCTTCATTTTCTTCTGATGAAGATGATTCTGTGGGGGGTAACCACGATCTTCAGAAGAGCATCTCCACTGCATTGTCAGCCCTGGATGACACATCCGATAGAAAGAACAGATCAGGTAAAACAAGTGCACATGTTGAAGGTGATTTCTGTAGTTGATGGGAAAAAATAAAGAATAATTTTAGCTATCTTCAGTTGAGGTAAAGGTTTTGATTACGTTTGGTTTTAATCCCAGTCATAATTAAGAGTTACGTTCTAAAGGTGCATTGACTATGAACTAAACTGGTGTTTTCTACAGTTAGAAAATCTGTAGATAAACTTTCTAATGCTACTTAAGTAGGGCTCTCCTAATGCCAAAAAGTTATTTTAGCCCATTATTATTGGAATAATGTGTCTGTTCTCTTCTCTGGCTTAGAATGCTAAATATGATTTTCACCTGGAAACCTCAGCAAATCGTCATGTCAGAGGTGTAAAAAATCTATTTAAAAAAAAAAAGTCTAGCAAGAGAACATACTAATAATTGCCATCAACGGAAGTTAAGTTCTTCCTAGGTAAAGATGCACTTTCGATAGGGTTGCACAGAGTATGTTTATGAAAACAGTATTTTTTTCTCTTTTAGATGGGAGGGGAAGATTTTTTTTTTCTCTAGGGGTGACATGATTTGCTGAAAAATACGTAGCACAATTGAACTTAAATTGTAATAATCGAACCTAAAATACTGGGAAAAGATTGCGGAATACATGAGATACTAAACAATACTTCATCTTGATTACTGTTCTGTTTTCTTCTGTGGATGTTTCTATTAAGTTATGTTAAGTTCAAGCATTTTGGAAAGGCCATTACAGAAGGTGAAGTTCCTCATAGGTCTTTCCGCTGAATATGTATTTTGAACAAATATGCAGTGACTTTTTTTTTCCCCAGAAAGCCAAAATGTGGACAGTGCCATGGTGTGAGCCTCTTGCTGAAGCGTGTCAATTTTTATAAGCCACATTCTGTGTACAGCTTCCGAAGGAAGTATTTCAAAGGGGGTTTGTTGGTGACCATTTCCACTAGTGTTTTATTTGCAGTACTTCCTTTTACAATGTTATGGTGACTTCTTTATTATTCATAAAGATGTAATACTTATACCACCAATTTTTTAATTCACCTTCCTGTTTTATTATATACAAGTCTGTACATTGTCCAAGGTGCTTGGTGATGACTTCTTTCTTACTTGCTGGGCTTTTACAGGTTTTCTAGTAATTTTTCTATCTTTTTTTATACAAGTGTGGAAAGGCAAATACTAAGATGTAGTCTTTTGGTAGCATTAGGTAGTGTATGTCCATTTATCTGCCATTTTGAAGACTGTAAATATACTTGGGGAACTAATAGCACTGTGTCTAATTAGAGGTGTCAAAGCTTTCACTGAACAAAGAAATACAACCTATTTGCAATAATGGTATAGGATATATGCAGAAGAATATATTTCTTGGCTTAGCAATTTTGCTGAGTTGATTTGATGAATCTTCATGTATCTGGCATAGCTTTTGTATTGGCACATTAATTTGATATTTAAATCATTTGTTTTGAATCACTTTTATTAAAATGTCATGTTATCTTTTTTCTATTTTTTAAGTGATAAAGCCAGCAATTAATAGTGATTGTAACAAAACTGTACAATAGTAATCTTAAGTTTGAAGCCAGCTTCCTAAGTGATATCAGTAATTATGCTATAGGCAATATAACTTGATTTCTTTTAGATCAGCAGGTCAGTGCTAAAACTAATACGTATAAAAGAGTATTAAGTAATATCTAAAAAGGTTTCTAATTTTTTTCGGGTGGGAAAGATTGATTTTTAAAAGTGGGAGTTTCTTTTGGCTCTTTGGCATAGAGGAGGAGAAGAATGGTCTTTCCCTTCTTTGTTGTGTATTGTCTCATTTTTCACATCTGTCAATATTAAAAGCTATTAGAATATTGCCAAAGTTTTAATCTCAAACGTTCAGTTACAGTACCGCAAGATAAAAATGATAAATGTCCAAAAGTCAGACAGCAAATGTTTTCATATTTCACGTGTATTTCTCTTTCCTTAATCCAATTTTAAAAGACTGCTTATCAGCAGATTGGAAACAAGATCCAGTGTTGTAACCTTTACTGTTGCGTTTGCTTATTCACACAAAGTACAGCAGTATTTCTTGTCAATCATGTCTGCAACTATCAGATTGTTTCCTAAAGCTGTTCATCTTTGTTGTTTCTAGATGCTGACAGCTGTAGCAGTTTAATACAAACAGAGGTATACTAGCCACAATATTTTGAGTTTGTTTAAAGTTTAGTTGTAGCCAAGATGATGCTTCTGTTTTAACTCTTAGAAGAGGTGTTTTTAATATCTGTTGTAACAGAAAGAAAGAAAAATAATCTAGTTCCCTTTTTTTGCCAGTCCTTGATAATTTGTTTAAATAAAATTTGGATTTTTGTCTTCAGAAGCTGAAAAAGTTGTTCCTGCTGCTGCCACCACCACTGCTGCTGTGATCAAGCAGGAACCACAGACAACTGCTCCTGTGGTCAATGCACAGGAGAAAATGAACCCAGCCGACCCCTTAAAAGTAGCCCAACAGGATGCTGTCGCCTCAGACCAATTGGCAAAAACACAGGCAACTGTTGCAATAGAAGGATGTACTGATGAGGAGAATACGGACAGTGGAGGAGAGGGCATGTACAGAGAACGTGATGAATTTGTAGTGAAGATTGAAGATATAGAGACACTAAAGGTAATCTGAATACTTGCTGAGGAGAGGTGGGGGAAATCGTGAGAAATCCTGCATATGAATTTAGCTTCAACAAACTACCATAAGGGGAAAGGCTGCAGATCAGTTTTCTGTTCCTGTTCTAATGTTCCCTGGTTGCTGCCAAGATGCCTTAAAGGTGTCTTTCTAGTGCAGGTTATGAATATGTTTTATATGTACGTGACCTGTTTTATTCTACATACATAATGAAGTAAATTTATGTGCTTGTAACCTCTGTTAGAACTTGGAATTACCTTTTTTTAATGTTAAAAGGCATATTTTTTCCACAGGCTGTTGACTACCTTTGATTTATTTATTAAGGGAGTAGCAAGTTTCCAAGTGTAATGTGTCGAGGACATTACTTTTGGACTTGTGCAAAAGATCTTCAAATTGTCTTTTCTTGGAAGAGGTTCTGCTTGCCGTTCTAATAAGGAGTTGCTTCCATAAGCAACAGTATTGCCCTTCACATGAGTTTATTGGAACATTTCTTGTGTTTTTGATTTCTTGTTTGGTTTTGTTGCTTCTCCATGTTAGATTTTTCATGTTTACCTTTCATTTTGTTGCTGTTGTAGCCAGCAATATTCTTACCATTAATTTCTGATACTTCTGATTATTTGTCTGTGTGTTCATCATCTTGAACTGAAGTTTTAAATGAATTCACATAGCTTTGTCTCCTAAGATAAGTAGTATCAGTTTTAAAGTGTTCCCTTGTCACTTGCAAAAATGATTAAGATATGTTGTTACCCTAATTCATGTCATACTATTTTGATGCAAATAGCACATAATGACTATGGGTTTGGAATTTTGAATGACTTATTTTAATTTCATCGCTGCGTAACTTGCTCAAAAAATATAATGCACAACACACTTCGGGGAGAAAAATAAGAATGTTTCTTAGCAAATAATTTTATGTTCTTACAGGTTGCTTTGCAAACAGGAAAAGAGCCTCCAGCTATTTGGAAAGTACAGAAGGCGTTATTGCAAAAGTTTGTTCCTGAAGTCCGAGATAGTCAGAGAGAGTTTGCTGCTACTAACAGTGTGAGTCTTAAAAATTCCTTGTGAAGCCTCATGGGAACTGGTTTCCTTGATGGAAGTCTAGGAAACAAGATAAAATGTGGTTCTGACATACCTTCTTAGGAATCATCCTTGAAGGGGATAGGGAGGGAAAGGTTTCTCGATTTCCTCCTGCTCTAAAATTCTCTCTAAATATATAAATGGGCAGAATTTTTGTTTTCCAGCATGGGTTCTTTGGTATCATTCACGCTGCATAAAGGAACAGGTTTTCATAACCAAAATAAAGTCAGTGGGAGCAGGCTTGTGAACCACAACGGGAAGAATTCAGATAGGATACAATTTCAACAGGCAGCCCTTTGCCATGCAGATAATTCTTTAGGGATAACACATGGGGAGAATTACATAAATGGAAAAAATGAAGCCCAAAGTACATCTTGCCTTATTTTCCTTATTTTCTTCCTTTAAATGTGGAAATCCATTGGAGAATTTCTCTTAAATTGTAAATGCTGTAGGATGGCTCATTCTTGTAAACAAGTTGTTTTTAAACTGACTTTTTGTCTTTAGTATTTATGTTCTTAATTGTTAAACTGAACAATTTTACTTAACAAAAAACACTTGTCTTTTTTTTTTTTTTTTTTTTTCTTAGTATCTTGGGTATTTCGGGGATGCAAAAACAAAATATAAACGAGTGTATGTGAAGTTCATTGAAAATTCAAACAAAAAGGAGTATGTCAGAGTATGTTCAAAAAAACCACGGAGCAAACCTGTACAGTCATCAAGGTATTTTATTTCATATTTTTTGTCATTTTGCCATATTGTTTTCATATTAAGAAAATACCTATTTTAATAAACAACTTATAACTCAGGGCTATGTTAGTTCAGCTTTAAGGTAGAAATGGAAAACTGTTTTGCTTTAAGAAACAAGCTGTAAATTACTGCCATATTAAGACCTGCCTACCTTGAATCTGTGGATTGCAATAATAATTCATTTTGGAGGTACTGGGCCTCCTGATGCTCTTTCTGTCAGCTTTTGCCTCAACATTAACACAGAAGCCGCAGGTGTAATGATTTTAAATGCGTGTTTTCTCCTATCCTGTGGACTTTGCAAGTTAGTTCCATTTTTCTGGACTGCTTTCATGATCATCCTGTCCCGGTATACTACAAGTACTTCTCAATCCTAGAAAGTTGATTTAAAAACAGAAGGCAATTTGTCGAAGTTGGTTGTTGCAAGTATGTTTTTCCCTCTTCTGTGTGTCCTTGCACACTGACAGTATTTTACTTTTCTCATTGCACATGCCCTACCACCCTCACGCCACCCCAGAAACCCTTATAACTTTGTGTGACGACCAGAAGTGTCTCTCACACAGGTACTTCCACTAGCTCTGAGATTTCCTCTGTCACCTCCCTTCTGATAAGGTTTTCACTGTCATTCACTAGTGAAGGGTTTTTCTGTTGCATTTTGTGTTGACCTTTGACTGTGCTTTTGGTAAAGGTTGCAGATTCTGTGTTGGAAAACTCTGTCATGCTTTATTGCTTAGCTTATGTTACTGTCTCACAACTTCAGATGATATCTGAAGGTTTTCTCTCTATGGATTTTCAGTAATTTAATGCTGATCGTTTTCTGTATCAGACACTAGTAAACAATACTAAAAAATGACAGTGTTCTCCATTCAACGGATGACTAGGATTTTGAGGTGGTTGAGAATAATTGTTATGCGTTATATAAAAAGTACAGTAGTATAGTCTGTATGACCTAATTTCTAGTTACATGTTACAATGAAGTAAGTATATATAATCCATGGAGGATACATTCTGGTTACATAAGACTATAGCTATGTTATTAATGTCAAAACCTGATTGGTAATTATTTTCATAGAGATCATCTTTATGATATTGCAGGACTATTCATTGCAAACCTAGCAGTAGCACTAATAAAACCCCTGATCCACCGACACCAAAACCAGCAGCAGCAAAGGTCTCTTCTGTGAAACCCAAAGCTAAACAGCCAAAGGTAAAGGCTGAACCACCACCAAAGAAAAGGAAAAAGTGGAAAGAAGAATTTTCATCTTCCCAGTCCGATTCTTCACCTGAGGCCCAGAGTGATGAGGATGGTGAGAGATACTGTTGTTAGCAGCTAGGCCCATTTGAACTTAACTAAGAGTAGTAGTACAAAAGTATGTTGCTCAATCTTGCAATTTTTTCTTTGCTAGCCTCAGAAGCAAAAAAAAAAAAAAAAAGAAGAAAATCCACTGCCACACAATTTCTTAAAACTTTCTACTTGTTCGTGTTCAAGCAAATATGTGCAACTGAAGTTATCTCAAACGTAGTTTATCAGTTGGGTAAATATATTTTTACTACTTGCTTTCTCAGATGGGTACAGTTGAAGTCTGATTTTCAAATACATCAGAAGAATCAGATTCTTCATTGATTTTTCCACTAAAACTCCGTGTCGTGTCTAAAATAACATTCCTGCAGTGCCTGTCTGCATGCAGATGTGGGCAGAATTCAGATGTTACTGTTGTTTCAAAACCCAAGGAGAAAAAGCAGTTACTTTTTGGCTGCTTCACTGCTTGTCCAAATGCCAGCTGTTCAAATGTAGCCTGCTGAGCACATTTGCTCATAAGACATTCATCGTGTCTTGGAACAGTGAGATACGATGTTTGCAGTAATTCTCCAGAACAGAGAGGAATTTTTGTATGGTGTTTATAGAGATGATCTGTGATAGCAGATATACAGCGCATTTTGCAGGGTTTTTTGTTTATTTCCTGTATGTCTGAATCATAGAATCATAGAATAGTCAGGGTT